CATTGTAGCAGCTGCTGTGCTCTCTGGAAACAGGAATTTTGAGGGCCGTGTTCATCCGTTGACAAGAGCTAATTACCTTGCCTCTCCTCCTTTAGTGGTTGCTTATGCCCTTGCTGGAACGGTATGTCATACTTGCATAGGGTGCAAAGTATTTGTTTTTTCATTTTTGTGGCTTTATTTTTTTGGTTATGTGATTCAGCTTCATCTATGGACAATAGTTAACTACCCAATTTTTTTTTCTTTCTTCATCTCCTTTATTTGTTGCACCTGTATATTCGTTGTATTTACTTGGTTTTAAAGATGAGTTATTCTCACTGGTTGTGCCTTTCATGTTCCTCTTATGTGTGTATCGTGCTCTAATGATTATGGGATTTTGCCATCAGGAGGAAAAATACATTTTTCAGAAGGAATAATACACCTTTTTGTTAATTTATAAATTTCATTTTCCCGTGTAAAACTTCTTTTCGTACTTATTGATTCTGAAATAGGCCAGAATGATTTTATTTACATTTCTAGTGATATGTTAACATCCATTCATCCTGGTCTTGACGCAAATAGTCTCTAAAATCCTGTCATTTGGAGCTCAATATCAGATTATAGTGTCTAAAAATATTAACAATATTTAATTAATTTACCCTTGTTCCGTACTCCTTGAATCACTTGGTTGCTGGCATGTTTACTGTTTTCTTAACAAGAAAATTGATTAATAAGACATTGTTGGATGTTGAAGCATCATGAAGTAGTATTTGCTGCATGTTCTCTTTAATCTTTATCCCACTGTCATTTACTACTATTATGAATGCCTTTTATGCCGTGTGAGTTTTAATAATTCATTTTGTTATTCTGCCAGCAGTGATCTCTTTTCGTCCATCATATGAAACAATCATCGACACGAGTTAACCTTAAAATTTCATTTTCCAGGTTGACATTGACTTTGATAAGGAGCCAATTGGAACAGGGAAGGATGGTAAGAGCGTCTATTTCAGGGATATCTGGCCGTCCACAGAGGAGATTGCTGAGGTAAATTAGAATTTTGGATTTGTTGTGAAACTTCAGCAGTATACAAAATTAACTCATGACTGTATGTTTTGTAGGTAGTGCAATCCAGCGTGTTGCCAGATATGTTCAAGAGCACTTACGAGTCAATTACTAAGGGCAACCCCATTTGGAATCAGCTATCAGTTCCCGAATCCAAACTGTACTCATGGGACCCTAATTCAACCTACATTCATGAGCCCCCATACTTCAAGGATATGACCATGGATCCTCCTGGTGCTCATGGAGTGAAGCATGCGTACTGCTTGTTGAATTTTGGTGACAGTATTACAACTGATCACATCTCCCCAGCGGGAAGCATCAACAAGGACAGTCCTGCAGCCAAGTACCTTCTTGAGCGTGGGGTGGACCGCAAAGACTTCAATTCTTACGGAAGTCGTCGTGGCAATGATGAAGTTATGGCCAGGGGAACCTTTGCCAATATCCGCCTCGTTAACAAGCTTTTGAATGGGGAAGTAGGGCCTAAAACAGTTCACATTCCCACCGGGGAGAAACTCTTTGTCTTTGATGCAGCAACTGTGAGTTGCCAATGAATATTTCACAAATTTCTGTCTTTTGTTAACTACAGAAAACTATTCACTAAATCTTTGCAATCGATCTTCTGTTTCTATTTCAGAGATACAAGGCTGATGGGCACGACACTATTGTAATAGCCGGAGCCGAGTATGGAAGTGGAAGCTCCAGGGATTGGGCCGCCAAGGGCCCAATGCTATTGGTGAGTTATTTTACACCGCCATTTGAATGAGTTTGTAAGTTTTCATTACAGTATCTTTCTTGTTTGGTTGACTTAACTTTTGCCACACAACAGGGCGTTAAAGCAGTGATTGCTAAAAGTTTCGAAAGAATCCATCGCAGTAATTTGGTGGGGATGGGTATCATTCCTCTTTGTTTCAAGGCCGGTGAGGATGCAGACACGCTAGGATTGACTGGTCACGAACGGTATACCATTGACCTCCCAAGCAACATTAGTGAGATTAAACCTGGCCAAGATGTGACCGTCACAACGGACAATAGAAAATCTTTCACCTGCACTGTTCGCTTTGACACTGAGGTACTTGCTACTTTCATCATCCGTGTATTATATTTGCTTTTGTATTTCTAAACCCAAGTGAAGTAACGTTCTGTGATAATACTGTTTGGTTGCTCATGTTGTGATTTGGTTGCACTTGCAGGTGGAACTGGAATACTTCAACCACGGAGGCATTCTTCAATACGTTATCAGGAACCTAAGCAAGCAGTAACTGGATCACGCCGTTCCGAGGACTTGCTATCCGCATCACTGCAAGCGTTTTCAATTGTAAAATGTGAGGAAGAATAAGGACCCCAAAATAACACGAAAGGTCCCTTTTTGCGGGACGGAGGCAAATTTTTTTGTTATTCATTTTAACACTATCCAGGTTGTGCAGGCTTGTTGATTTGTTGGTCTTTCGACGGGTTAAAAATATAGTTTCCGAGCAGTAGAATCTTTTTCCGTTTCGATTGTTTGCTTGTTCTAAAGCATTTACGCATGTACCTTGGGTTTTCAAGTGCACCAAGATTATAGGCAGTGTTATGCCTTTGAACAGTGATACGATCAATGTGATATTTTGTTTCATGGCATATGATGAATCTAACGCCCCACCCCCGATTTGATATTAAATTGAATTATTGTCATGCGACGATTAATTTTTTTATTTATTTCCACAACTCTGCATAAATTCATGGTCCCTTGCTTTTAGATATTTCTATGCGCTTCTTATAGAAGCACTTTTATTGAAAGTGCTTATGAGAAGTGGTGGTTTTTAAAGAAACAGTTCCAAACGAGCTTTTAATTTCATTTCTTGATACCAAATTTCAAGGATCAGTGATTAAACACATGTTATAGCACGAGGAGATCGTTATACAACACGGTGATGTTGCAGTATCAAACAAGAGTTTCTCAGTTTGATATTTTGTAATGCTTTTGATCCACTAGCTCGACTTTTTAGGTACTTTAAGGCACCAAATATCACTGTACAATTGGATCAAATTTAAACGGTTTAAAATTGGTGATTGTTGATCATTGAATTTGATTTAACAGCTTAAAAAGACGTCGGCACAAATTTGATGTAGGTATCCATGACAAATCGGGTTTCACTGGACATGACAGAAGGTTCATTCAATTATATAGGGTTAGTATGACTTATGTGTGTGAACGATGAACAACTCTTGTAGTCTTCAAGGATTCCAAAAGCATGACGAGCAAAATCTTGCCCAGATCCATACAAGAAAACACGTCATAATATATCTGTGCCTGACAAATTTGTCAATTAGCCAAGGCACCCCCATCTGTGTGTCGATTTGTCAATTAGCCAAAGCACCCCCATTGTGTGTCGATTTGTCAATTAGCGACCCAATAGAAATTCAAATACTTGAATATTAGCTTAAAAGATTTGATTGGTATTGCTAAACTTCCTAACTTAATCATCTATTGTTAGGTGTTGCGTTTCATTACAAAAGACCTCAGTGATATTAAGGGTAAAACTTCTATATATTAGTTGTATATTATTTTGTCATACGACTGATGTGGGATCCTATCTCCAACATGTCTCCTCAATGGTCTCATATGGGGTCACAAGAGAAACCAATTTCCACATCGAGAATTGGTCAAATTATTATATTGGAGCTAACACAACTTTTTAAGTGCCTGACCACATTCAAGGACTAGAACCAACGCAACTTTTCGAGGACCCAGTATTTAATATACTTAAGCTGGAGCTAGGCACATTCAAGTCTAGTAAATCGGATCCAGAACGTGTCGAAAGAATAGTCTGCTCTGATACTATGGTAACTTTATAGGCAACCAATGTCACTGATATTGTTCCAACTTAACCACCTATTGCTAGGTGTTGGTCTTTATCACAAAAAGTCTTGATGATATTAGGAGTGGAAACTACTATATATTAGTTGTATATTATTTTGTTATATGACCAATGCAAGATTCTATTCTCCAACAATTATTTCTGTGTTACTTCTATTTCTTTTTTGATACAAGGATTTTAGGGGAGGGAAATTTAGATCAAACAACTTAAAGGGTTGACTATAATTAGGTATCAAACTCATTATTCATGAGAATCGAACTTGAAACCTCGACAATCCATTTATTACTGTTTATGGTTGCTCCTCACGAACTCTGTAGGTAGGATCAATCACAACCTTGTTATCGCAGGCAATGCATGCGTTCTTCTAATTCTAAAGCTTAGACACTACACTCTAATTTTTTCTATTAGTGGGGGCATTGAACTTGGAGTAGAGCCAGGTTGATTAAATTCAAGTCTGTAACTTCAGTATCACCGATTATAATTATTTAACAGTTCAAGTACAATTGATATTGTTGAGGTGTAATCAAAATATAGTTTTTGGGAATAGAATTTGTGGCAACAGCAATTGTTATTTTTATTATTTCTTCCCTAGCAGAATGTGAGAGATTACTTTCAAAAGTTTCAAAAATTAATAGCCTAACTGTCTTCAACAATAATTTGGCCGCAGTTGCAATTTAGCAAGGACAAAGATTGTCTGCCCTTCCACTTTCGGTGCTCTTCCGTACCTTCCTGTTTTGTGTGGTCACGGTTAAGCTACGTCAACATTTTATATTGTTTTTTTATAGAGATAATAAGACAAAAATAAATAGTAATATAAAATATTGACGTGGCTTAACCGTGACCACACAAACAGGAAAGTACGGAAGGACACCGAAAATGGGAGTCCTTGTCCATTTAGTAAAGCAGAAATGAGTTAGTATGATATTCGACGGTTGAAACGATCACCTACTTTTCTAATTGTCTTCAATTTATGCAACACAAAAGTGAAAGTACACTGATGATATGGTGATTAAATAATACATACTAATTAGGCCACACATCAAACATAATCAAACCAGTTTTCTAATTCTACAATTAGTGTGTGTATGTACATACATACATACATCAATATTGATCCTCTGGAATGCTCTCTAAAGTTGGCCTCCAGCAACTACCACTGCTTATGCTTTTATCATCCCCACTCGTTCCATTAATTTCGGAAACCCTAGTTCCTCTGGACTTCAGAGCACTCATCAATTCCTCCAAAGAAGAGTGGTTTGAATCTTTCTTATAATTCAGCAGCTGTTTCAACTCCTCCCGAGTCACCACCAGACTAATCCTCACAGCCCCACCACTATTCGAATCATCAGGAATATTTCCTCTACGTCTGCCGATTTCTTGATCTTCTTGTAAATTAAACCTCACAGACTTCTTCTCCTGCTTCAACTTGGATGGCAATGCAATTGCTGTTTTTGTTGCTTCTAGGGTTTCGAATTCCTTTGCTGTCTCATGCTTCTCATAATCTTGTGACGGAATCTTGTTATTACTTCTCAAATAATTTCCCATAGCTGAGTTTTGAAGAAAAATGGAGTACTTGGCAGAGAGAATATCAAAGAGAGAGAGAGAGAGAGAGGTGGGAGGGGTTATATAAAAGTGTTGTATAAAGATATAGAGAGGAGGGTGGAGAAAGCACATGAGGTTTGCGTTTGTTGCGCCGAATATTTGAAAGAAAAAGTGGGATTAACTTTTAATTACTGTTCGAGACCAACACTACACTTCCTCACATAAAATTATTAAGCAATTCTCAATTCTCATATAGAATTGTATGTAGTGTTTGTTTTATGTTAAGGTAACCTTTTGTTGAGTTTTTTTTTACCTTTAGTATTGGTCAACCAACCTCCGGCCAAAAGTATCTGCATTGATGTAATGATTCAGATTTCTTCAAATCAGTCCAATACGTATGTATTATATGTTGAGCTTAAACTTAGATTAATACTAATTCTAGTTTAATCAAGTCCGTCCCCCTACTAGTACTGCTAAACTTATACAAGGTATAGCCACTGTAGATGACGCCAGGTGATGCTTATTTAAATTTGTTGCTGATGGTATGTTTTGTTTCCACACATATTTGCTGGATTCTATGCAATATACATATTTCCAAAAGAGGTATCGATCAGAATTAAGTATGCAAGAAAGTTGGTATAATCCAGCTTGGATCATTGCTATTCTATAGTCCTAATCCTATTATCTAGCTAGCTACTTAATTTGAAGACGATGAGATGATCCGATAAATAATCAATCGTACAAATCAATGGTACTCAGTTTGTGCACGTAAGACATACATATTTCGTCATGATCCAATTCAGCAAGTGATCTACCCCATTATACGAGAAGGATTTACCATGGTAGTGCCACATAGTACACTTATACGGTGGCGTCTCATGTCAATAATTTAACGACACGTATATATACTTTTAATATGACGTTGTGTTATTGAAATGAGAATCATGATAACCATATATTTGTGTCATGTAAGTTGTTCCTTAATTATACATGCAAGTTTGATAAGCATTAATAACATGTTACATCCTGATCACCTGCAAATTTTGCTACGCAGATGGGCTTCACCAACTTTTAACTGCCTTTTATATTACAATATTAAGCATATAAAAAAGTAGGAACCGTCCATGGATAACAAGTTCATCATCTAACGAATTAAAGTATCATATGAGCTCATATCATAAGCTAGAACAGTGCTTTTATATTTTTGCGTGTTATGATGAACTGGTTTTTGTTTATAGGCTATTGAAACGATGACGTGCAGAAAGCAGACTTGATGGATTTTGCTTGGACAGATCATACTCTTAAAACAACTAGTAAAACATAAAGTCAAAGCCAACAAATGAATTCACAACATATACTGAGTAAACAACGAAAACATTTGTCTAACAATATAAGTTTGGTAAAAGAATATTATTTAGCTTGTGTTGTGTGGTATTTAAACTAGTATATATGTTGAGTTTTCATGCATAGAATTTATAGATATAATCAACGGTTGGTATGAATTTTCAATGTATCAACATAAATATTTATGTAGCTAGTGTCTAGTACTAGTAGTGATAAGAAAACATTTTCCAATTATCAGCAAGTAAATTACAAGTCAAGGCTAGCAATTAGTAACATATATGTATGTCTGCAAACTAATCTGTCTGACAATGGACACCTATATCACGAAATAGGTAGTTAGGGGTGGTCCGGTCGGGTGGGGTTCACTGCTTGTGATGGAGATGCTCTGCGGTGAGGTGGGTTCACTGCATATCATGTGAAACCAATATTTTCAACTCAACGTAAACCACGATTTCAGGGTTGTTGAAATTATAATTATATATATTTATACATATGAGACACACACACACACACACACACACAGACTGCAGGGAGATACATATGAGATAACATACATACATATATATATATATATATATGAGAGGGTTTTACGCGTTAAAAGTAGAGTGGCTCTAAGCATCTCTCACATGGGATCAGGGATTTATGTTCATGGTTTTATTGATTTCTATACCAAATATTGGAGCTTGTTCCATGTATCATGTGTGGATGGATTATATATGGCCAATATTATTGTCCTTTTGGTTTTTGTGAGGTGCGTGGTAGCAAAGGTACTTGAACTTTACTTTATGTTTAGTTTTTGTCTCTGAACTCTCATATTAGTTTTTTTCATCCTTCAACTTAACTTTATGTTGTACGAGTGGTCCTTCAATCAAATATATCTTCTTTTCCGTCAAATTTAACGTATAGTGGTATTTCCAGGTCTGAGTTGTAGGCCTTGCTTTCCTCCTTGGTGGTTCTGAAGATTCTTACATAAAGTTTGACTGCAAATACCAGAGATTCTCTGCTTCTTTTACAATTATATAACAGTAGCTTTTACCCACCTCCATTGCGCATGTGATCTGATGTGAACTTGACATCCACGAGTTAAAGACATGGACAATTCCTCATATAAGAAAGAAACTTACATGAAATAGAATCACCGTTACTCTACAATATTGCATTTTATAAATCATTTCCAATGATCTAGGCACGTTTTGTTTTGGTCAGCAAGTATTTTACTTTCCACATCCCCAAATTATTGGTGATTAGGAAGAGACTTGCCAAAAAAGGAAGAAGAAAGGAACATTTCCTCTTTGGCTTTTTGTGTGTAGTTATTCATTATGGAAGACCCTAGGTAGATGGAAATGCAAAAGAGCAACTTTGTTCATTGCTTTCACACTTTAGAAAGTCCAAATTGAGAGACATTAAAATACAAATAAAGAAAACACAATATGAAGTATGAACACCTACTATACCATGTTGAACTTGGTTTCCAACACATGGGCATATGAATTGAATGTTGTTAACAAGATACAATTTTATATTAACAGTCGAATTTTTAGCCCATACTCATTAAGGAGAGAATTCGACTCTGACTCATTGATCTAACTCATATTTGCTTAACCGCTGAATATTAAAAAAATACAAATTTGTACTAAGCTTTTAAATAATAAAGGTCGAACGTTTATCCCATAGTGATTAAAGAGAGACGGTTCAAATCTGGTCAACTAGTCGAACTCATATTTGTTTGAACGTTGGATAGTAAGCTCTCAAACTTTAGAAATAGAAGTAAAGTTTATCAAGTATATAAACAATCCAATATGTGCACATTCGGAATATAACTTTCACACATTTTTTCTTTTTCATGTCACTCATGTTTAATTTTGGTATTTAAATCGAATAAAAAAAGAAGAAGAATTAAGTAACAAAATCTAGGAAGTGATTTTGATAAATCTGAATAGAATCAAGGAACCATAAATAGTGATGTGTAGAGAAAGAAAAGGAAAACAAATACATATCACTTTCGATAAATAAACCGATAAGTGTGCCATGGTAGAACAAGAGTGCCGAAAAATCATTTAACTTTTGTTTTATTACATTATTACCACGTTTAACTTTTTTGTTCGATCCCACGCCATGTGTTCCACGCCTCACATATGATTTGAATGTCTTTGGCTCACAAATCAAAACCTGCAACTTCCACCACGTTGGCTCCCTTGTCCAGATCTCACCCATCTCATTTGTCACGTACCCCATAACCCTCATTTATATCTCTTCCTTCCTACTTGTATTTGCTTCACCACTCTTCCCACACACCCAGAAGACTCCACAAAAAACTCCATAAATGGCAAATAATGAGCTCCAGCATCCTCTGCATGAATCCTACCTTCCCCTTCCGCCCACCTCCACCCAATCCTCAAAACATTCTCACGATGAGCACGCGAGCGGTGAGCTCGAACAAGTACTATCCGACACTGACAAGCCGTTTTCTCAGCGGCTCAAACCCGCCCTATGGATCGAGTCCAAGCTCCTTGTCATCCTCGCCGCCCCCGCCATCATCGTGTACATGATCAACTATGTCATGTCCATGTCCACCCAAATTTTTTCTGGCCACCTTGGTAATCTCGAGCTCGCCGCCTCCTCCCTCGGGAACAATGGCATCCAAATGTTCGCCTATGGTCTTTTGGTATGTAACGGAATTATTAACAGAATGTCACATCATTTGGCAATCAAAATTTGATAAATAAGTTTATTGATCATAGCGTATTTGCATCTCATTTTTCAGAAAACAAAATTAGTGAATAAATTGAATAAATCACTACGTTAAATATACGTAGCAGGAAGAAACAAATGTTAACATGTCTCTTTTGGTATCTTGGATCAAATAATTCACTAGATCCGAAGAAACAAATGTCAACTTTCAAGTATTATCTATAAGTTGAACTGGGAAATGCTCAGGAAGAAAACTTAATTTCTGAATCTGACCATTTCTGGGGAGATTCGAAGGGATAAGTTTCCTTTCGACTAATCTATCTTCTACGTTTAATTTGAAAAGTTTAAAAAAGTTCGCATCAATTTCTTCATCAACATACATGTAAATCTAATGAGGTGGCCTTAATTCCGACATCTGTCTGACTTTTTTTTCTTTTACTGAACAGTTAGGTATGGGAAGCGCAGTGGAAACACTATGTGGACAAGCATATGGTGCCCAAAAGTACGAAATGCTGGGCATATACCTGCAAAGGTCATCAGTCCTCCTATTTTTCCCTGGGGTACTTCTCACCATTATTTACATCTTCTGCGAACCCATCTTACTTTTACTCGGTGAATCTCCAAGCATTGCTTCTTCAGCTGCAGTTTACGTGTACGGACTGATCCCTCAGATCTTTGCCTACGTTGTCAACTTCCCGATCCAAAAGTTCATGCAAGCGCAAAGCATAGTAGCCCCAAGTGCTTACATATCGACTGGAACCCTAGTAATTCACATTGTACTCAGCTGGGTTGCTGTGTACAAACTAGGACTGGGTTTGCTGGGTGCTTCGCTGGTGCTGAGTTTATCGTGGTGGATCACTGTGGTGGCACAGTTCGTGTACGTTGTGAAGAGTGACAGGTGTAAGCACACGTGGACAGGGTTTTCGTGGCAAGCTTTTAGCGGATTGTATAGTTTTTTCAAGTTGTCT